GAGACATCCCTTCAGCACAATCAGTCCTAGGGAGCCCACTTGGGTTTTCACAGAAGCTTGGAGCAGAGGAGTACATGAGAGGAGAGAAGGGCATGCTTAAAATTTCTACCATCTCAAGGGTTGGATTCTCAGTGCTCCTCATTAAGTCTATTATTCTTGTGTCTTTGCAGTCTGCAAGTAATTCAGCTCCCCTGGGTACAGAGTAGATAGCAATTAGAAAATTTTCAGTCAATATTGTGTGTGTGTTTGTTGGCAGAAAGAGGGCAAGAGGGATTGATCCCTTGCCAGGGAAATTCTTTTTTCTTTGGTTTGATTTAAAAATCACAAGGTGTCCCCTTAGGAATGTTTAATTTTTATCAGGAAGCAAAGCCAAGAATCATTCCTCTGTGAGAGGTCTCCTCCAGAGAATCCTTGAAGTTTTTATGAAGCCCTGAGCATTCATAGTGTTAAATTCATGCTAATTAATAATGTCCAAGATAATGAGAAAACTAAGTAGAATTCTGAGTCAAAGGTGACTTTATTCCTACAATTGCAATACTTTAAAAAAATTGTCATACGTAGTATATGCACATTAATTATATACACACTACCAATATAACTTTGAAATTTCTCCATTAAGCTTTCTCATGTTCTTTATTTTAAATTTTTTATTAATTTTGTTTTATATATTTTATGCTTTTTAAGGGATAAGGACGACACATAAGACAGAGTTTCTTTGAAGTGAGATAAATGTCCAGCATTCAACCATTGGGATGTCTCCACATGTCTAGAATATACAAAAAAAAAAAAAACACTTTTAGCAGGTAAAGTTCACAATAAGTGAGTTATATACCATTAACAGTGTTTAAGAAAGTCATCAAACGAATTTTGAAGACATCAAAAATAGATTATCAGTCCCTGCCACCAGTGAAGGAGCCCAGGCCCAGGTTAGGCCCAGGACTGTCTCTGCCGACCAGCAGGAACCCAGGTCCAGGTCAGGCCCAGCACCACCCCCAGGACCACCTGGGAGCCCAGGCCTACTCCACCTTGGGACACTGCAGCCATTGCCATATACCTCCCCATGCAGCAGCCTCCACCTTGCAACAACAGACAGGGCCTAGAAGCAGCTGCATCTTGAAACAGGCAGATGTTTCTATTATAAGTCCTTTCAGCCCCATCTCTGAAAGTGATTGCAGCCATCTTGGGCCACCCCCTCCCACTGCCTACCTTGAGTTACCTCCGCTATTGCCACCACCACCTTTAGTTGCAGTAGCATCCATCATGGGACACTGGCAGGATCTGCAAGCCCAACACCAAGGTGAGACACAGATAATCTGCATGGACACTATAAGATTATAAGGTAGAAACTGTAATACCTCAGATCCTTACTGCAAGAAAGGAAGACACATAGACAACATGAAAAAACAAGGTAGGAAAGTGCCCCAAACAAACCAAGGTACTACAATAACAGAATCCACTGACAGCGCAGTAGATGAACTGTCAGAGAAGGAGCTCAGAACATATATAAGTAAAATGCTCTGTGAATTAAAGAATGACATAAAGGAGCAAATACAGGCAAAAATTGATCACTCTAACAAAGAGATAAGAAAGCAAATACAGGCAATCATCGATCACACCTACAAAGAGATAAGGGAACAAATACACTTAGCAAAAGATTACTTCAAGAAAGAGAGATTCTGAGAAAAAAATCAGGAAACCTTGAAAGAAACAATAAACCAAATAAAAAACTCACCAACAGGCTAGGTCACTTGGAAGACAGAATGTCAGATAATGAAGACAAAGTATACAATCTTGAAAATAAAGTTGATTACACAATAAAGATGGTAAGAATATCCAAGAATTATGGGATAGCATCAAAAGACCAAATCTAAGGATTATTTAGAGGAAAGCACAAAGATTCAAACCAAAGGAATGCACAATCTCTTCAATGAAATAATATCAGAAAATTTCCCAAACATGAATAATGAGTTGGAAAATCAAATACAAGAGGCCTACCAGACACCAAATGTACAAAATTACAGCAGATCTACACCAACGCACATTATGATGAAAATGCCTAACATACAGAATAAGGATAGAGTCTTAAAGGCTTCAAGAAAGAGGAATCAGATCACATACAAGGGAGACCAATTCACATTTCAGCAGATTTTTCAACCCACACCCTCAAAGCCAGGAGATCCTGGAACAACATATACCAAGCTCTGAAAGAAAATGGATACAAACCAAGAATCTTTTATCCAGCAAAATTAAGCTTCAGATTTGATGATGAAATAAAAACCTTTCATGACAAACAAAAGTTAAAAGAATTTACAGTGAGAAAGCCTGCACTACAAAACATCCTCAGCAAAGTATTCCAGAAGGATGAAATGAAAAACAACAATGAAAATCAGCAAAGGGAGGAACTACACTAATGGAAAGGCTAATTAAAGAAGAAACCAAGTCAAGTTAAAAGCCAAAATAAACTAAAATATCTGGAATTACAAATCATATTTCAATAAGAACTCTGAAGATGAAGAGCCTAAATTCATCAATTAAAAGACAGAGAGAGAGAGAGAGAGAGACCAACAATATGTTGCTTTCAAAAGACTCGTCTCACAGGAAAAGACATCCACAGACTGAAGGTGAAAGTGTGGGAAAAAACGTACCACTCACATGGACCACATAAACAAGCAGGGGTTTCCATCCTCACATCAGATAAAGTGGACTTCAAACCGAAGCTAGTGAAAAGGGATAAAGAAGGACATTTCATACTGCTTAAGGGATTCATACCTCAACAAGGCATAACAATCATAAATGTCTATGTCCCAAATAACGGGGTCAAAACAAACCCTTCTCAAATACAAGAACCAAATAGGCCATAACTGGGTGATTTTAATACACCTCTCACACCACTGGATAGATTTTCCAAAGAAACTATAAAACTCAAAAATGCAATCAATA